CTACAAGACTTGGCATTTCTATGGCATATTTAGGGCAGCTGGGAAATACTAATGGCCTAAAGCAATCCCCAGTGAAGCAGACAGTATTTCTTTGACCCAGTTGAGGCTAAGATGCCTTTTGAGGGAAGAGCTTGGCTTTGTTTTGCTTGAGTTCATCAAAAGGTCTCTGGAATGGAAAGCATTTCTTCCTAAGTCCTTGAAGGCTGCCAGTGAGCTGCAAATGTTTTCAGGAGATGACCTTGATAATTCTTCAGGGCTGCATATTTGAGTTTCTCAGTGTTGTTCTGATATTACCTGATTTCTTGCTTTGCCTCGCTTGAATGAATCCTCCAGCTGCCCCATTTTCAGTGTGAGTGCACTTACAGATCTAGCAAGATGCCTTTGCTACCCCCTGGAGAAAGGGAAACAAAATGTATCAGAGCAGCCTAGTGCAAAGTTGTTCTGGAATATCTGTCAGTATGTGAAGTTACACTTCAGTGACTGTGCCAGCACCCAAGACTGTGCTTTTGTGTCAGGGGAAACAAGATTTGATGTCCAGGTATGCACAGGAACTCCATCAACCTCATGAGTTTGGGCCAGGTAGGAAAACTGATGTCTTGTGGTCTTTCTTCAAGATCACAGCTTGGCTACTTGTTAGTTATCTCTAGCTGGAAGTCAGGTTGCTGGGTTCAGACTAGCAGCTCTAGCCACATTTCCTTCATCTTTTGTGCTCCTCCTGATTGTTAGCTACTGACTTGTCAGAACCAGTACAGGGTAACCCATGAGCATCTCTGTCTTGGGGCTCTTTGGGTCAGTGGTGGCAGAGACCCCTCCTTCTGCAAGTCAAGATAAGCCATCACTCACACAAAGAGGCCAGTAGGAACTGTTCATTTAGTTGAGAAGCCTGTCAGGGATGCTGAGATAGCAAAAAGGCACCTTTCCTGACAGATCCTGTCCTGATGGACCGATTTCTCCAGGTACTAAAGTATGCTAAATCTGCAGTTCAATGAAGACAGCTTTTGAGGGAGACAGCACAGGAGGTGGTTATGGCTGTGGGTCTGTGTCCCTGCCTCCATCCATTGGGCATCTTTTTCCCTGTCAGAAGACACCAAGTCTGGCTCTTGGGAAAGGGGGTAGGCTCCATTATAACCTATTGAATACTTACTAGAAATCTGGTCCTGTGGCTGAATCTTCAACCCTGTCTGCAACTGCTAGTTCTGAGCTAAGACATCTCTGATACCCTTTGCCTGCTGGTATCTAGACAGCTGTGGTGTGTTTTACTCATGCTGGAAAATGGGGTTTAGCATTGGGTCTGTGCTGGCAGACCCTTTTATTCATAGGTGATGGATATGGGCACAACCTGGAATCACAGCAGCTCAGGGAGCTGCCACCCAGGAGCTTCCTTGTCTGTGAGCTTCTTAACTCAGCCATGCTGACAGTACTGTGCCATGGGCTGGGTCTGTGCCTTGGTAATGTCAAACTGCCATCAGATGTTGTTCTGATCAAACCTGATATGTGCAAAAGAGCTTCTTTTCCTAGTGTGGGGGTTTTTTCCTTCAGATTTGCTGGCATAGCTGTTTGTGTAATTGCTTTGTAATGCAGTTGTGCCAGAATGAAGAGTGTTGCTTTAAATGCTTTTAATGGAGAATTGTTTTTTCTTTTAGTCCTTGGCAGAGGATGAGGGCAACCCAATGAAGAACTGCACATCCACTTGAGAATATGGAAACCCAAACATCTTAATCTTCTGACCTAGCAGTAAATGAGGGGGGAAATAGAATGAGGGGTAAATAAAGTATTAACAATCCATATTATTATTAGTCTTGCACTTATCAGGGATAGTGTTGTTCTGGCAATCCGTTAAAAGTGTGGACGTAAGCATGACCTTAAAGGCATGTATAAACGGGAATAGTGGAGAGTGTTGGGAGTTGTAACATAAGAAGGAAATTGCTTTCCTTCCAAGAGAGGCACAGACTAGTTGCTAAACAATGTTTGTCAATGGCTATACCTGCAGTCTGATTTTTGTTACCAAACCAAAGGAGTCTGATAGCCTCTCACAAAGGAGTGTTTTATATCAGACATTTAGGTGTTGATCTCATAACTGAATTTACTCCCCTGCCCCCTTGAGCAAAGATCTACCTGCAAAACAATTTGTCCAAACCTGGGAATGTTTTCTAGCTTCCTTGGGTGTGCAGCCCACATCCTGAGCTAGCACAGCAAGCCAGCTCTTAGTGGAATCTTTCTACACAGGAATTCGATCACTTCTTGTTCGGGTTTTATTTTGTGGGGTGGTTCTTTGTCTAGTGAAGCTGGTTCAGGTTTATACAGTGTTAGAGTCTAAATTCCTTTGGGGTGATTTGCCTAGTGGTTCACAGGGGTAAGTGCTGAGTTTTGCATTGTGTGTCTGCTCATAACAGAGTATCTGACTTCAGCAGCAGTGTGTGCTCTAACTTACCGTGTTCAGCCGCTGCCTGAACTCAGTCAAGGTATATATAGTTCCAAAGTGATTAAATCTGTATTTGAGAGTCTTTTCAAATGCAGTACTTGCGTTTTGTTTTTAAAGTCATGCCCAGTTACTAGAAAATTATCACCCTGCCTACATGTTCTTGCCTGAAATGGCCTTTGTTGGCTTTTTCCCTTCTTGTTGCACACAACAGGTTGGGAACTTCTGATATTTTTGCATCTATTTCTATGGCAACAGATTATAAGTTCACAAAAGGAAAGGCTTATTGCTTTTTCTCCTAAATAATCCAGGACGTAGCAGTTTCTTTTGCATACATTGTGAGAATGAAGGGCTGCTATTTAGCCCTCAGTAGCACTTCCTCAGCATCAAGAGAGAACTGGAATCCTCTTTGGAAAAGGTGGAAAGATCTCAAGTGTATTACGATTGTTCTCAGATGATGTTTGACACTGGTTCTTGTTTTGCTTTATAGCATGCATGCTTTGCTGTGCTTTTTGGTGTGTGCTTTCTTTCCTCTGCTGCATTACCTTTGAAATTAGTGCTTCTACCTTCTCTGTCATGTCATGGAAGTTAGAGCCTGGTGGTAGGTAGGGACAGAAGTGATGTCTGTCTTACTTCCATGGGTGCCAGAGGATAGTGCCACATGAAGGTGACACCTTCAAGGACCTACATGTGCAATGACCTACATCAGAGGATGGAGTTTAGGTTGTGTTTGCTATCAAAGTCTATGTTCACAGTGCAGTAGGATTTGTATTTTGGTGGTTAACATACTGAAACCTGTCTGTTGTATTTTCATAGCTTCTATACCTGTGATAGTGAGATAAAACCAGTACCAACAGGTATTGCAGGTGTCCATTCTTCCTATGGCTGTGGACAGCAGTAGCTCTTGGATAACTTGGACTAGCAGCCTTGATTTCTGTCTGCTTTAAACTTTCTCTTTCTTTGCCTGTCAGGTTCAGTAGTGGTATTTTTAACTCAGATCACTTACTGGTTTGAGCCCTCTTGGCAATGAAGAAAGTTGAGCAGTGAATATTCATTTTAAGAGGGGTTGTGGGTGTGTGCATCTATTTTGAGAGGAGAATCTGTCACCCTAGTAGCTCCAGCCATTTTCTTTCAGCATCTGGCAGGGAATCCACTGTGCACTCTGGCTTCTTAGGCTTCAATTCAAGCTTATCCTCATCACTAGTACTTAAACAGGAGGCCTAAGCATCACCTGAGGCTTTGGTATTTTATGAACCAAGTTTTAAGACATGGTCTATAGAAACGGGAGTGGGGAAGAATCTTCATTGTAAGGATCCAGCTACAGACGTGGTGACTGAGAGAGAAGCCAGCTTAACTTAAGGGGAGACCCAGCTCCCCATTTAGGGTTGCAGGGTGCCAGGCAGCATCTCTGCAGTATCAGAAGGTGTTTCTCTAGGGAATATTGTAGCAGCAGAGAACATTTCCTAGAGCAGGAAGGAGAAAGAGATGTTGCTCTCATCTGGTGAGCACTTTGGCTACGGTCACTTGCTTTCCAGGCCCTCAGTGAGCCTGCTCTTTGCTTTCCCTGCCATTTCAGAAGCTGTCCATGCTTATTGCTTGGTGGAGTTGGGCAGGAAAGGGTGGTAGCAGCTGGGTCCATCTGTCTGCATAGCTGCCACACAAGTCCCTGCATGGCCTTTGTCTGAACAGCTGCCCTCCCTTGGAGGTGTGATTGGGTTGGTTCTGATAAACCCAGACAACTGGGCTGTGCTGCCTTGACCTGCCAGGAAGTTTCCTCTTGGATGTTGCACCAAGTTTCCAGACAATTCAGACCTTCTTTAGCAGGCAAGCTCAAGGGTCAGGCCACCGAAGTTCTGTGCTCAAACATCTGTCACAACCTGTTGCAATGGGGCTGTGTCACAGCTGGTTCTCTTGTAGTGACTGTTGTTTCAACAGGATTCTGTTAAAGAGCAAAGGGCTCATGGATCCAGGTCATTCATTAGATTTTTCATCTCTTCCAGTGCATAAGAACTGGGTAAGGTGTATTGATTCCTCAATTCCTTATGTATCTAAAGCTCTGAAGAAACAGTTTTTTACAGTGCCTGAACCTTAGGATAATTTGACATCCTTATTTCTAACAGGCAGGATGGACAGAACTGTAACCATGAGCCCATTTCCTAGTTTTCTGAGTACCATCATATGCAGTTCTTGTGCATCCTAACTTCCACTTCCCAGAATCCTGTGTATTAAGCAGCAACTCTACTGCACCCTTTGCATATATTGACACTGTTGATTATGGAGTTGACTTGCACCCCAAAATATGCCTCTGAAAAACAGTGAAGTGGGTTATTCACAAGGTGGTTATTAAAGTTCTGGCACATCCATGGTATTAGCACAAAGAGATGAGCATCAGGCGGAACTGATTTCTACGTTCATAGTCCATCATTTCATTGCTAAAGTGACTACTCAGTCATAGCATCAAACACGCTGAGTGGGAAGATTGATTGTTATTCCAGCCTCTCTTGCATTTCCCTGTTTGAAAGCCATCACTTTCCCCTACATCAGCTGAAATCAGTGCCTGACATGTTTCCTTCCCTAACAGGAAGAAGCCCACACACGTGACAGTGAACTGCTGGTTCTGCAATCAGGACACGGTAGTGCCATATGGGAATCGCAACTGCTGGGATTGCCCCAACTGTGAGCAGTACAATGGGTTCCAAGAGGTATGGGGACAAATTGCTTGATGGGTGGTTGGGAAGGTGCACAGTGTATGCCCTGTGGAATGGGCCTTGCAGGGAAAACCCTGCTCCTCATCTAAGGTCCACCAAGCCCGGTACAGATGAATATCCAGGGTTTTGACAGTGGTAGATCTGTGCTGAGCATTTGTGAACTGACCATGTGATAAAATTTGAGGAAGGATCCACTGTACTGGGATGTGCTGATGTAGAATAATAAAGGCAAATTTTTCTCTCTTGCTTCAAAGGGCAAAAAGTGCCTTAAGAATTTTTCTTTTAATACATGGAACAGTTATTCCCTGGTTGTGCATTTAGAACAGCTGAATTGCTGTATTTAGGGTATTAAATAACAAAGCCAGTCTTAAGCCAAAATCCACCCCCACCAGCTGCTTGCAATAAGTGTACAGAACAGTGGAGGAGGGAGAAGATTTGAAGCATTTTGTCTCTTTATTTCCTTTGTTACATAGGTGAATGCATGGAGTGTAGAGCTCCTGACAGAGCTCAAGTATTCTTGTTATCAATCAGAGGATACCGAGCTTTGATTTCATGATCTCATGGTTGCTTTCCCTCCTGCCTCCCCCTTTGCTTCTTGTCAGAATGGAGACTACAACAAGCCCATCCCTGCTCAGTACATGGAACACCTTAACCATGTTGTCTCGGGTGCTATGACTTTCTGTGATCCTACCAAACCACAGCAGTGGGTGAGCAGCCAAATTCTGCTTTGCAAGAAATGCAACAACCATCAAACCACAAAGATCAAACAGCTGGCTTCATTCTCACCAAGGGAGGAGGTGAGTGTTCCTTAGGGACTGGTGGCACAGGAGAATGTTTGTCCAGGGCATTTTTTGCTCTGTTTAATTCTGTGCTGCAGCCTAGTCAGCAGGAGAGAGAGGAATTTTTCAGTGTGCTGTGGAATGATGCTCCAGTAGTCTTCAGAAGCAGCATGCGGCACTCCAGTGCAGAGAAGGTTACTGATTAGTGTTGCAAATTTACCTAATCCAGCTCCAAAGCCAGAATGTAATGACCTGTTCTAAATGGATACTGGAAGTTGAAGCTCGAGCCCAAAACCAAGCATGTACATTGCTGAGATCAGCTTACACCTCCAGTACTTACCATTGACCCAGCTGAGCTTACAGGATCTGGGAGGCACAAGAGCCTGCTAATCACCTTGAAGCCTTAATAGATTTTGTTTTTCCTGAGGCCTTGGCTGTGCTGCTCTGCTTTTACTAGTGGAGAGAGGGAGGAATCCTGTGCAGCCACATCATCTCCCTGGTTAGGCATTTGTGCCCAGGAGGGCAAAGGGATTTTACAGTTTCAGCAGCAGGATTTCCTGCTCAGCAACTTCTTGGCCTTCCCATCACTTAATATGCTTGGAGGATAGTGGGGTTTCTCCTTCATAGTTTCATGGCTCCCAGGGTTTCATGCACTGAATTCAGTGCTGCACTCCTTCACTTTCAACTATGGTAAAGCCTTGGGGTTATAAGACTGTGCTATAGTGGGATGCATTCATCTGGTTGCCTAATCCAGACTGCTTTGTGTAACTGCAATGAGTTTAACCAGCATGGCTCAGGGAACAGATTTAAATTTGATCATGAGAACTTCATTGGCTGATTCCCTTTTCTCAGCTTTATTTCTAGTCCCTGCCCATTGCCAGACCTATTCACTGCTCAGGTAACACCACCCTTTGGCCCCTTTTTAGTCATTCAGTGAGCTGCAGTGTCTGTGGCAGCTCAGAAACATAGGACCATGTGGTCCAGCATAGATAGGTTTGTCGGTGACAGCAGTGGCCTCTCAGCGTTGCTGGCCTGTCAGTAAGGGATGAGTCTGCTGCTGCTGGTCTCACCCGTGTGATTCCTTCTCGATTCCAGCAGATGGAGCCTGTGAAGCCGCTGCAGCAAGTCCTCAAGCAGCTGCAATGCATCCTTGTACTTCCCTCTCCCAAAGAAGCCTCACGCTTTCAGCTGTATGCTTTTGGCACAAGGATCTTGAGAGAGGTTGGGATGGAGATGGAAAAGCCTTAGAAGCCCCCAAGATAAGAGATGTGTGCAGTGTAGTGACATTGAGAAATGTACCTTTGACCCTAATCACTGGTTTTACAAATGCTGTTAATGATTTATGCAGCTCATCTCACCAGGACCTTCAGACAGTGACAGCCTTTGAGCCTGGGGCTGAGTTTTGGAGGGAACTTGTTCCTTTCTCCAGCAAAGTGCTGTGAAGGGCAACATGTCTTTTGTGCCCACTCATTTGAGGAGGGGAAGAGCAATGCTAGTATTTGGTCTCCTGTATTGAGTTCATAAGGTCTTGATACCAGGCCACAGAAATTCATCATCCTGAAATTGGGTCACAGCAGCCTTCTCAAGGGCTGTTTTGTCAGTTGGTTGTATGGCTGCAGCTTGGTCACTGTTCAGGTCTGGTTTCAGGGGGCTGTTCCTCTGGGAACTGGAAACATTCCTTGCTCTCATGTCAGTAGCAAGAGTAGTGGTCGAGGGACCTGCAGTTCTCACCTACTTTTCCTCTCCTAATCTCTCACCAGAACAAATATGATGAGGAGATTGAGGTGTACAAGCACCATCTGGAGCAGACCTACAAGCTGTGCCGACCGTGCCAGGCTGCTGTGGAGTATTACATAAAACATCAGAACCGGCAGCTCCGGGCGCTGCTGCTCAGCCACCACTTCAAACGCCGTGAGACAGACAAGACCTATAGTCAGGTACATGTGGGAGAGATGAAGGAATTTAGGGGGTAGTGAGGAGAACTGGAGGGAAAATAGCTGGGCAGGCAGAAAGGGGGAGGAAGGGAAGCCAATTTGTGACCACAGTGCAGGAAACCATAGATTACAGGGGGAAGACAAAAATGATGGGAAGTGAATTATGACCATCTCCTTCCCTCACTGCCCTGCCTGAGCTTGGCTTCTGCTCATAGCTCTGTTGTTTCTCTTTGCTAGTCTACAATATCTCATGTGGTGTTGGTACAGAAACTTAAAAGGACTTGAGCAAAACTGTCCAGTAAACCCTATAGTCTGGAAGTGTTTCATAATTTCAAAAACTTATTGGAGTTCATTCAGGTTTTGACAAGGTGTTTCTCCCTTTCTCTGCAGAATTTATGTTCCTCCACCTCTTCTGCTTCCATAACCACACCAGCTCAGGTGATACTTCTGCGGTTCTTGGCCTTCCTCAGCTGTGCATTCCTGGTTCTGATGGCCTTGTATGGGTCAGGCGACCCCTTCTCACTCAGCACAGCACTCCCTGCTCCCGTCTCCTCTGGTCCAGCACCCGCTCCGAACAGGACTGGCACAAGCTCGCATGGAGACTTGGAAAATGACTCTTCTGTGACGGTGGCCCGCTGGCGGGAGCTGCTCCGCCTGCTTCCAGAACATACAGTGGAGAACCTGAGGGCAGCCTGGGCTTACGGGAAGAACCACCAGATTGCAGTTGCTGTCCTTGGGCTCTTCACCTGCCTGCTGGCCATGTTCTTAGCCGGGCGGATCAGGTGCGTGGGCTCTTCTCTTCTGGCTCACTTAAAGAACAACTGTGTTATGTTGGAGGTCTTTTGCCTTGTCTTGGTGAACCGGGGGGGTGAACATTTGCCAGTGGCAGATGTAGTATTGGGTTGCACCATTCTCCTTCTTACTCTTTGGGTGCTGGCCTGCTGGATGGCAACAGCAGAGCTTACTTTGGATCTGTGCCTTGGTTTGTTCAATTTAATCTTGAATTACAATGAACGAAAAACTCCCAGTGCAGCTCTAATCTGGTAGAAAACAGGACTGACCTATTCAGGTACCTCACTGCAGCAGTGGCAAAACCATAGTAAGAGTTAACACATAACCTGCTCAGTCTGTGTACCCTCCCCACCTTTTCCCCATCTTCCCCTCCTCAGGACCAAGCGGGGTTTGTTGGTGTTTCCACTCTTACCTTGTGTCTTGTTTGGTTTCTTTTTGGCATTGCAGGCTCCGGAGAATTGATGCGTTTGCTTCAGTCTTGTGGTTCGTAGTGATGAGTCTGCATTTAGCTGAGAGGTACCTGAAGGCAGAAACACCCAGCTGGCTGGACACAGCCAAATTTGGCACCACATCCTTGTGCTGCTTGGTGGGCTTCACCGCAGCAGTGGCCACGCGGAAGTCAACGGGCCATCGGAGATACCGGCCCCGAAGGTCAGAGCCAGAGCAATGACGCTGGGGGAAGGAGGAGAAAAAGCCTTGTGAACTCTTTGCGACTGGTGCTTCTCTCTCCTCTTTTGAGTTTCCCTTCCTCTGTTTCTTTTTTTTTTGGCTGTTGTTTTTTAATTAGATAAGCAGTGAAGATCTTTTCTTCCTTTTTAGATATTATTTTGTTTCCCATCCTTGCTTCCCACTGTGCTGGCTGCTTGGAGCATTTCCACTGGTGCTAGCCATGGAAGCTACTCCTGCTGCCTCCATTCTCCCTTCTTCCTGAATCCTACGTCAGCAGTGCAAATATCCAACTTCCCTAAAGCCAATTCTTCCAGCAGCTGCTTCACAAACTGCTCCATAAATGCAGCCTCCTTCCCATTCTGCTCCTCCAGCCAAAGAGATTCTGGCTTCTCCTCTCCTTCTGGTTCTTCTCACTGCCTGTCCATCCTTAGCCAGTCACAGAGGAATCCTCTGCCTTGATCCACCATGGGGCCCAGGCCACCTTCGGTTTTCTGATGGTGCTGGTCGTTTTAATGTTGAACTGATGGGAACTTGCCTCTGGATTCCAAGTCCTCGTAACGTGTGTTGTAGTAACACTGCATGGTGTGTGAGGGAGGGGAGCCCGTAACCTGGTGGTTCTTGCCTTCTACTGTGTAGCATCACTTAACTGCATGCTCTCGCTCTGCCATTCTCCTGTGACTCCTATTTTAAGTGGAGAGGCATCTTTAAGTGCTTTTAACTGGAACTTCAATAACTTACTTAAAAGTGTGCTTTACAAGGTTCTGTAGCTCAGGGCATCAGTTGAATATCTGAGAGTGCTCAGCTGGTTTAGGCTAAAATCTCAAATCTACTAGTGGCTGTTGCTTTCAATGCTGGTTTTCTTTGGGATTTTAATCCACCCCCTGAGGAGCATCTGTGTAAAAGCACAACTGGATAAAAATGTGAATGTGCCTCCACTTCTGTAGCCTTAGAAGGATAAGAAACATGGGACTAACAATCTCATGGTGTACAGTCGGCTTTCATTGTACATCACTACATACCCAGTTAATGGTTGAAAACATAGATTAGGAGGATGTGCTATAGGAAGGAGTGGGAGCCTCTGCTGCGGGACTACATGGCAACAGAGGTGGATTTTTCTTGTTACTTGGAGGGGTTCTCTTTTGAAGTCTGGCATTGGTGCTAATGCTGCTGAACAAAGGGGGCTGGAAATTGGGATTTGGAGTTGAGTGCCTGGCAGTCCTCCACTGAAAGCTGGGATGACTGGTCATTACTGCATGGGGAGGAAGGAGCTTTCAGCTGCTTGGGTTTTTATAGGATTAACTTGTTGGGGCCTCTTAGGATAAGCAGTCTGATTATCCCACAGTGGGTTTTGCAAGGCACTCCAGGAGTTTCTCATGCAGATTTAGGTCTTTCACGAGGAAATAGCATTGTTACAGGAGATGTGCTATTTTCTTCTGGTCAGAACAGCACAATGGAACCCGCCACGTTAATAGTCTGACAGAAGTTAATTGGGAGTCTTGATCTTCCTACGTACAAACTCTCAAATAGGAGCTCTCATTATGAAGTA